CAATAATCTGAAAATATAATTAGGTCATTTTGACCTAATTTGACTTAATCCTCATTTCGATATGATGGCTCACATATTTCACCATTTTTTGTCAAAAAATTAGTTCAGCTGAATGTTTTGTTTTCATGGCATCATGTGAAGCATGAGGACACAGCAGCAGTTCTTCTATGAGAATTTGGACTTCAAAATAAACTTATAATTTGAGTATAATTACTTTATAATGTGTTAATTTAATTGTCATTTTGACAAACTGTGGAGATCCTGAGGTGATGAACAGGATGCAGCCTAGTGTTAATCTGGCCCTGACCTCTGATAACCTTGGTTCTGTTTACATTTCTTTAGTTAAAACATGAAAACACAGTTGTACTGGAGCTGCACACACACCAGTGTTCCCATCTTACCTGCAGCCAGTTCTGCCTCTCCTGCCTCCTCCTCCTCCTCCTCATTGTGGTAGTAAGCGTCCCACTCTGCCATGTTTACTGCAGCAGGAACACGAACCTGCTGTTAGATCAGTTTGGACCCAGACTCAAGCCTCAAAGTCTGAAACGAACTTTAACGCAGGTATTAGCATTAGCCGTTTAGCTTGTTGTTAGCCTCCTTCCTTTAGATGCTAGTTTCTTGGCAGCTTAAATCGTCATTCCGTGTTTGTGATAAAGCGTCCAAACTGTTAAAAGCACACCTGAAAAACAAAGTGAAGCCGAGCTGAGTTCACCTCTCTGCAGCTGCAGGAACAAGTGGAACAAGCCTGCTCTGAGCGCGCTCAGGTTCGTCACGTGAACGAGCTTCTACGGAAAGTCTAAGGTGCCAAAATGTGCGATACGTGATGCAGCTGCTTTTCCCTGTGATTCTGGCAGCACCAATCAGGTATATTTACAATGTAAATAACAACAAACTGAGGAAACTATTTTACACACATACTTTCAATTCACTGATATTTTTGTGCACTGTGGATTAAAAAAACAGGCTGAACTGATAAATAATGATTTATGTTTACAGTGTGTTTGGCTTCATAGAGCAGTCCTGGTCCTGGAGGGTATGGAGGACCAAAACTGACATAATTATAAATAAAAGCAGGAATATATAAATGAACCATTAAATAAATAAATACACTTAAAATGCACCAATTCAATTAAAAAAGAACTTCATGTTTTGTAATTTAATTCTCATTTAATTGATTTTTTAACACACTTCAAATTTGACTGTTTTTTTAAATATATATTTTCAATTTTACTTTTTACTTGTACATACATTTGTCTCTTAAATGTTTAAATTGAAATATTTTTATAGTTTTGTCCCACAAGTC